CGGAGCCAAAAATAGGCCTCCCCCCCGTCTCAAAAACTTGCTGCGCGGTCCCTGCATAAACTAGCCGGGATGTTTCAAAAATCCTTACTTTGAAGAACAACTGTGGATACTTGTTTGAACACTTCTTCAACTCCAGAGAAACTGGCTGTAGATGTCTTAGTACTGGCATACAAATGGAATCCACGTTTGTAAATAGATTAAGAAACAAAACCTACAACAAATATAATAATTATCAAATCAAGTCAAATGAATCTTATGTAATATGAACACGAAGCTCTATGCCAAGACTACAGTGACAGTATGAAACCCATACAAAACTCACCAGCTGTCTCATGGCTGCCGCGACATACGAATGTTCAAGTCTGTCTATTACAACCAATTGGTCTGAAGCGTCATTCACAGCCTGTAGTGACATGAACACTCTGTTGGCCAGAATACCAACATCTAGAACAACAAAACACAAAATGTAAGATCAGACTTCCACAAACGCATCAAACCAAATTATCTTACCAAATTCTACATCGTTTAATAAACGTGTGCAGTATTCACTACAACATGCACTTGATAATCTTGACATGTAAAACTTACACTCTATTATAAGATCAGTGGCGACATTTTGGCCAAAGGAACTCCCGGATTTCATTTGTGTGCTGCACCATGTTAACAGACTCCTTTGCATTGCACACAACAACTGAACAAGGTTGGATGTCGATTCGCTTTGGTTTCCATCATCTGCTGCTGTCACGCAGTTCAGGCTCTGAATGCAAAATTTAAGAGAAAAGGTTTGCTATGAAAACAGATTTTGAAAAGTGCAAGTAAGTGGAACAAGTCGACAGAAATACAAATGAAATTGCACAGATAAGATCTTAACATACCTCTTGATAAGCCACAGACAACAACGTTGTCATGACGGCAAGAACTTGTCCACAGTCAAATCCTCTCTAGATATGACAGAAGTAACTTTTTTTTGTAACATTTTAAACGACTACATGCATATGCTGGGCAACCAAATGTTAACGAACTTGCTGCTGGGTGTGTCAATCTAATTGAAGATGGTCCTTCTAGGTGGACGGTTCATTTAGTATAATACTGCAGATCTGAAGTTCTTTCAATTTTAGATGATTGGTTCCCCTTATATCAACTGATCACGTTATCACCCACAATCGTGTTTTCATTTTGAGTTATTTTTTCCTTTTTCCTCCTTTTTGAAAAACGTTGACAAAACCAAGGGGTTTTTCATTAAAAGAGTTTCTCCTAATTTCTTAACTTAGAGATTTGTTATCAACTCATGTTACTGATTGATATTACTTGGTCTAATCATAACCCAATACTACCAGCTCGTTGAAACCTAATTCGACTACCTCTGTCACAATATCGGGAAGTCCAAGAAGACCACTGGCATCTTTATTACTGAAGAATCTACAGAGTGACTCAAATGTGAGTCCCAGAGATGCCGCCTTCTTTTCTTCCATCACTTGATCCACCATGGACAACAAGTGACTCCGCCTTGTTTTCGAGTCTGGGAAGAAAATCTCTGCTCCTGTTACAAGGACAGATAAAGTGATATTTCTATCAACATGATTTCAAACTGGGAGTGTTACGAGTGTCAATGTAGAGCAGGGTTGTTCCTAGACAAAACTCAGGATCGTCGATAACAGCAACAAACTGATTTATTTCCACGCAGTTGGCTTCTCGACTTTACAGCACTAAGCTTCTTCACACTTCTCTGTTTTTTTTTTTGTTATGAAACTATCGCTATTATATACATAAAGTCCAAGGATCTAGAAACTTCTCTAAAGAACTAAATTTAGTAGATTGACACGGTTTCTAAATCTGAGTAATTACATAAGAGATAGAACGTTCCAGAATGTTCTTATACAAGAAGGTCACAGCTGGATGACTGCGGGTTCTAGACTGTTCTATAGAATGCTCTAGGACTTAACTTAGACAATTTTTCGTAACTGAGGGAAATACTAGTTAGAAATCATACATAAGTCCGTTTATAAAAACCAGTTTAGAAATAGAATAACGTACAGATATGATATCTACACTGGTAGTGTTGCGTTGTGGGAAGTTAGCCGTAGAGTTACCTTCTAAGATAATCAGTTTTGAAATCTGATGAATCTTTTCATCGTAGTACCCTTCGTTATCATCCACAACGTCACATAAGTGCGCAAATACTTTGGAGGACAGTTCTTGTTGCTGAGAAAACAAAAACAATATTCATTATTACCACATTTACATGCAAGGGAATGAACTACTGACGCGGCTATCACCTTTTCAAATGCTGTCTTATCAGAAGAGTCAGCTGCCAGTTCTCTAAGGTTGGACTTTAAGCAAGGGAGGCTTTGGTAAAACAATCGAAGAAGCAGCAGGCAAGATACTATGATTTTCTTGTGCTTTACTCCCCTGTGAAGAGACACAATATGTAATGTTTCTTGAAATACACATGCGTTTTTATGGCAGCTGTTCCAATGGCACATTGTTAACAATGTACTTTACCTGCGTGTTACAAGTGTGTAAACTTCCCAGACCAGTTCAAGACTCACACTACTCATCTCTAGCTGACCCTCCTGAAATATTACACACAAAACAAACTCGTGTTACACTGAAAATCTAGGTCTAAGCATGTATGAATCTGAATTTTATCAGGCACAATTTTATTAGCTCATTTAGCTCTACGTGTATCTGCAATGACCTACTTCTACGGAATATAATTATCACTACTCATTTGTAAATATATCCAAACTCATTTTCTGTTTGGTCACTGCTGTCACATTGCACATACCTTTTCTTTATACAAAGGGGGATTTTTCGGTCTTGATTTAAGGTGAATCTGTAGAATATAAGATGTAACTGGAACTATATCAAATTAATTAACTTTAATTTTTAATAATGACTATATTGCATAAAATCATCTGTCAGGAAACACAAGAAGCATAAGAAGGTTTGTAATCTTCTGCTGTCTACCTGGTCCTTTGCCATTTCATCAAGAAATAACAAGATTCTAATGAACAAAGTTGAACCTTCCACTATGTTGCTTGAAGGTAAAGGGGCAACTTCATTCTGGAAAAAATGTTAAAAAGAATTTCTCTTTAAGAAGACGATAAATTAGAGAAATCAAACCTAACTGTGATACTCTTACCAGTGAAGTTACTCATTAACTGGGAGACCTGTTATTCTTGCCTGAAATTTTGTTATCAAACATTAATAATAAATTTAAAAGAGATATTCACATTACCAAGTTCAACTCATCACTCAGTGGACAGTCGGGTTTGACTTCATAACCAAAGAAGTTGACTCCCAACACTCCTATCCTCTCAGCACTTTCTTTTCTTGCTCCTAAAAACTTGACTACAACATACTGCAGTAAACAACAATAATAAAAATAAATAAAAGCCTTCAAAAATAGTTTCAATCACCATTTATTGCCATTTATTGAAAGGTTAAAAGAAATTTATCTGTGAAACTGTCTCAGTCTTGATGCTGAGATAGTGATTAAAATCATCCAGAGTAAAAACCAAAAGCTCATGATCAACAGACAATACCTTCCCAGTCACAATTCTATCAACGTGAACTTCCACCTCATCCCTGAAAAGTCAAAGGAAATAGATCACTGTATCTACAGTTTTCTTTCATTATGTAATTCAATGATCCCACATGAAACATGGCATTCAAAATGATGCAGAGAAAAGATATTACCACAGAACACAAGAAAGTCTTAAAAGGAAAAAAAAATCTACATATGAGACAAAGTCTTTTAAAATGGTAGAGAGATACACACTATAAGCAAGTTTAGCTGGCCTGTACTCTAAATTATTTTCTTTGTTTTGTCAACTCACAAGTACTTGTAGAAAATCATAAAATTAAACATACCAGTCCTCTTCTGTGGTGAAAAAACCAACTGGATCATCATTACCAAACTCTGATTTGCCCTTACAACTATAAATGAAGCAACAACAATAGCATTTTTAATTAATGTTGTTTCTATGTTGTCATGAACAAAACATTTCATAAAAAAGTTGACACCCTGAACACATGAAGTTAGATACTGGTGAACCTCTGTAACTGAACAACTTTAGGATCTAAACAGACCTTGCAACATATTCAGAGTATTTAGCTTTGGTCCAGTCATTGTATTTGCTCAATAAATCTGTTTCATGTCCTCCTCCTTCTTCTTGTTCTTTCTCTTTTTCATTTCTGAAGCAAAAGAAATAACATCACTACTTTGGTAAAGGCTATCTTTCAGTCACCATTGACCCCCCATCACCCTGACAAATGATGACTCCATTAAATTACTGTTAAACTATTACCAGCTTTTATTTGTCAATAATTCTTCTTTTACTCATTCATTTTAATTGGAATAATATTGTTATAAAAAGTCTCAGTTATCACCAATCATGACACTCTCCATATCACATAATACAGATGGACAAAAAGTGAAGTAACTTTTTCACAAATAAAACCGATTGAGGTGTAGAAAGATCAATGGTTAGTCATTTTGAGCCCAGTGACTCAAGATTACCTAAAGGATATTGTAACGCAGTTGGAGTCTCTGTGCAGTAGGAAGGCATAATTGCAAAGTGACTTCCCTTGTCAACTATTTTAAATGTTGCCTTTTTTAGTGATTAATTTGCAGGTTTCATTACAGTTAAAACTAGTTAGGAATAGAAAGCTTGCAAAAACCTCTTTTCATTATGTACCTTTTAAAGTCATCCAACACAAAAACCAAGCCATGCGAAGGGCCAATTGCTCCTTTGGACACCTATATAATGAAACATATTCATTGCATGCTAAAGCAATCAAACCTTCCCTTAAATTTAACAAAGCAAGGCATCAAAACATTATAGTGTTGCTCTAAGGTTCAAGGATGACAAATATCATACACTGTACTTTAACTTGTAGCTTACCTTGATGATTAATCTTGTTAATTTTACGCGAACTGATGAAGCACTTGAAAACATCATTGACACTCTTGTCTTTCCAGAATCTGATAAGAAAGCTTGAAAAAAGAAAAACAGGTTTTACATATTGAGAGCATATTCACCATAGAGAACAAATGCTGCTATATGTGCTGAAATAAATTGCTTACTCTGTTATTAAACCTTTTAAATAAAATATCTAGATAAGAACAATTGAGCTTGGAGAACAGAGAGAAGATGAATTACCTTCAGAAGACCAGTTGTCTGTTAAAACATTTTCTGGTTTTGAGAGGTTGTCTTTGTGACCCCCATCACAAGATGACAACGACATCTTTAAAATTGCACCTAAGGGAAGTAAACAGACAAGCAGTAAGACAATTTACAACTAGTAAAATCTACATCTACAAAAAGACAAATATTTTCTTGCTTAAATGCCTATTTGTAACACTACAAACTTGCCCACTGTATGTAAGGTGTCTTTGAGTTATGGTTTACACCAAGTGCCAGTTTTAGGAACAGTATTCTCACCAAAAAATTAATCACTGGCTTATTTCCAAATCCAATAAAGTCAGATAGAAGTCTCACCATGTTGCTTTGTAGCTTTAAGTTGAACATCTTCCAAGGATTTCACAATTTCTGCTGCAGGAAAATCTTCATAACCAATTTCTATGAGGATGTAAAGGCAAAATATCAATCTGTTGTCTACATTGAAGATGGATTATTCTGCAGCACTAGGTGACATTTTATCAATGAAACCTAAATACATTATTTCAATGAACAATTATACTTCATCACTTTTGGATTGAGTATGATAAGTAATTACAACTTTTTATTTTCAGTGCATGAAATAACAAATACAGCTAAGGTCACTGATTGATACATCATTGTAGCAAGAAAGAAAACAAAATTTATTTCCTGTATTACTCACCATATAATAATTTAAGAACTTTAAAAATACTTTTTAAATTTCCACGTGCTAAAGAAAATTCCAATAAAATTTTTAAACTCTCTGGTTGAATTGCTCCCTCAAACCTGAAAGAAATTTTAAAATAACACAGATTAATTGTTATTTAAATTAACAAAGAGAACATGTCTGGAAAACACAAGTTAAAGAAATAATTAGATGGAGACAGTGAAAATGCTTTGCAATGGACACCACAAAAAGAGTAGGATAAGATATAAAAACTAGCATGTCACACAACCGCCACAGAAGTGAATAAACTACTTGTACATGAACATGAAGAATGAGTAACAAAGACATACTTTGACCATCAGACCAATTTCTATATCTAAAAAAGAAAAAACTAACAAAATACATGTACACCTCACCTCACAATAGAATGAAGGAAATTTTCAATCTCCTCAAGAACATTTTGAGAGAGGGCAACTGGTCTGTCTGGTGATGTTAACGATAGTGACATTGGCTTCATATGGCTCAATGCTGACCTGCAGTAAATCAAATCAATGTATTCTGTGAGTGCATTTGAGCCAGCAGAGCCCTAAACGAGTGCATACCAACACTACCAGCACTTACTTTGTGTGAGACAAGATAAGATCCCTAAGGTGAGGAGCCATTGGAAGGGCTGCAGTGGCAGTAGCTCCAAGCACTGAGAGGAACCACACTGCTGATGCATCACCAACACTCATACCTTTACTTTTTAAGACTCTGAAATACAATTCATCAGAGACACTTGAAGCAAACTGTTACAGTTGTAAGCCAAGATATTTATTTAAATAACATTTCACTGCTGGAGAGATGCAAATGAGAGCTTGTAAATTTCTTTATAGAAATGATTTATTTTAATCCTTAATAATGCAAGATGCCCTCAATTAAGAAACACTTTTCAGGTATTATTGGAAATTTCAAGAAAATACGACAATAAGTGAACCATATGCTTTTCCTTACATGTGTATGATGGACCAAACCATTGAGATGGGTTAACAAAAGCTAACAAAATCATGTTTATTAATTTGCACTGGCTGACTGAATGAAAAGGTGGAATGATTTTCTGAAGAAAAAATTAGTCAAACTCCCTTTCCTAGTGTTGAAAAAAAGGTGTCACCTGTATCCAACTGCTTTGATTCCACGAATTCTTGTATCACAACCATCACTGTGACATCTTCTAATATTGATCTGTATCACTTGAAATGTGCACAAAAAACAACAACTCTTTTTTCAATAAAGTGTATGGAGGTTCTTAGGTAAGTAAGGAACAGCTAAATTCCTTTTATGAAACAATCAACTTATGAAGAGTATGTTACTTCATTATCTAGTAAATGTGTTTATACAAATGTTCATTATTACTCACCTGGATATGGAATTTTTACATTTTCTACTAAAACAAAATCCCCATTGACTTGGCTAAAATTAATAGAAAATTTCAAAGTTCATTTATCATAATTTCTGAAATACATGTAGTGTTTGTTTGCTTCTCAGTGATTGTCAAATGTTCTAACATTACTAATATAACTGTGAGTAGTGTAACTAGATGAAACAGTTTAAAAAGTATGCTAGATCCCCTTTCACTAGCATTTAAATGTTTCCTTAGACCAAATGTATTCTAATTAATAAAAACCCCCAACATCTGGTTTGACAGTAATTGTTACATACCATACTGGTTCAAGTGAGAATGATCAGTATAAAACTCTCAGTTTAGAATTGAGTTTTGTTATATCTAATAATTATAAAAAGTTTTCTCTTCCTTGATTTCAAAATTTGGAATCAGATGTTTTTATTCACAGTACTGAGAATGCTCTTTAACTTGTGTTATAAAAAGAAGATATAATTGAGGACAGATGACACTTTCATTTGTAATACCTTGGAATTCTGCAGTCACTAATTTCTCTCAAATTCTGTTCATCTCGTCCTGCTGTGACAACAACATGTTGTGGCATGTAACTCTGATCAGAAGAACCTACATTTATTGACAGCTGTTTGAGAACAACATTTGGCCGCATTCGTAACCTGAAACATACAACAGGAGAACACCACAAAAGTCAAGAAATTCTTGGATGCCCTTGTTAAATCTTAACACCTACACATATTTAATAATATGAAACAACAGACTGAACCACATTACAGAACAGGCAATATAACAAAAAAAAAAACATGAAGAGAAATGGCAACATATTGGAATTCTGCAGTGGAACTTTCATGAGTTGGCTATTTCTGTGTTGATTCCAGGTCACATTCAAATTTTGTGTATTGGGTTTTATGGACTGAGGAAGATAACAGACCCTAGATAAAACCCTGGCTAATTGACAGGAGTTCAAGCAACAAACTCAACCCTCATTTGACATCAGGGGTTGATCATCAAACCTGTGATTTCATCATTGCATCATCACTAACCCTCAAATAACAAGGATTTAAAATTGGAAATAGTATAAGCAGCATTAATGCAGCAGTAATAAAAATGATAGTTTTTCCTGTTTAGTAGGATGAACATTACCTGATCCAGTGAGACCTTGCAGGTCCATCTGACTGCCAGTATGAACTTGCATCCCCATTAGTTAACCTGAAACATTCACAAGACAGAATATAGAATGCAACTATACTTTTTGTTTGTTTCTTTTCACCAACAAAATTGGATAAGAACCTGAAGAAAGAGTGCTTTTCCTATCTGAAAGCCTGTGCTACCTGGATATATCTCCCTTGTTACTGGAAACTTCAAGAGTCATGTAACACTTCATTAAAGGCCTGAGCACTTCACCTTCTTCAACTGAGGGAACCTGTTTCTTTACTTCAGCTGACAAGATAAGATAAAAATCATTTTATTGCAAATGACACTAAAACATTAGACTTAACTGAATTGTATGCAGAAATAGAGCAGCTGCAGTTGAGAAATCAGCATTCCAAACATCTTTATGCAATAAAATCAATGAAAATGTACTGGTAATATATGTTTGTAGGAATGGACATTAAATGTTGTACCTTTTTCCTTTAGTGCCTCTATGTGTGCTTGTAAAACTTTCAGTCTCATCTCAGATGTATTACAGAATCCATCCAAGGCTGGTAAAGGAAGAGATGTACTACTTGCTCTGTTTCGCAGCAAGAACTAGAACATCCAAAAATGTCAAGTCAATACATTGAAGTAAACTGATTTTTCAGTAATCATTCTCAACAAAGTAATTTACTAAATACAAAAAATTGGTTTGGAACCCCGAGTGGCTGGGTTGTTACAATTAGTGACTGAAGTTTTGAAAACCTAACCATCAAAGTCAAGAGCTAGAATAGGCTACTCTAACAGGTGAGAAAAGAAATAACACATCTGGAATTTAAAGTATTGAAAGTTTTACCTTCAGGAGTTTTTGACCGTGATTCATAACAGCCTCCTTATTGTCAGCAAAAGCATCCAAAAATCCTACATACAGAGGACATGTACTAAGTTAAAGCTGGGAAACAGCTCATCTTTTTCAATATTGATTTGATTACACACATGTAAAGTACACCAACTTCCATATTGTTTTAAAATTTACAAGAAAATGATCATTACTGGTAACAAGGATTTTTAAAGGTTAATATTTTATTTGCTATTTGATCCAAGCTATTCCTGGAATCCCAGTGGAACTCAAAATTAATTTCCCAACAATCTTTCTGTCCAATAAACAAAGAGGGAGAGTTGGTCCCCTAGGCAAAGGGGAAATTTTTCACTTCTGTACCTGGTGTTAGACAGCAGTTTTGCAGTGTCTTGATGGAAGTCCTTAAATCTCCTTTGGCACTGAGGCCACCTCCAAGGGTTTGAAGAGTCTGTGATAAAAATTTAACTAAAATGTTACAACTGTTGATTGAGTTTGGCTAAATCAGACCACTTTGAGAAAAATCTGTGATTATATACATGACTGATTAAACTAATAAAAGCTTGCCTGCTAAGAGATTAAACAATGTGTACGAGGTTTAATAATACATTTTATGTAATTTCCTCAATTAATACCTTATTGCTTCCTAGTAATTATTATTCATTTAGAAACAAACCTCTAAAAATGTTTCTACATCTGCAAAGCCTTCTCCATCAGCATCAAACTGACTGAATAACTACAAATAAATTTGAAATACGGAACAAAAATATCAATTTTATGATGAAACTCATTACTAACTGTTCATTAGTTCAAAGTTTAAGTGAAATGCAATTTATGTTTGACTCCACCAAGCCATTTTTTGGGCCTAATTGGTAAGCAGAGAGTGAAACGGCTAAACTCAAGCCCTGGCACCAGTACTTTACAGTATTCTATACTTAGACAAAACACAATCATTTTTGGTCATCTTCTATGACTTTCCATGACCCAAACCAAAATTCCATGACTATTCAGGTCCAGAGAAATATTTTGCAGAATTCAATGTCCTTCAAGATTCTCAGTAATCTAGACAGGCCCTGTAGTTGATGCCATGACTGTTTAATTTTTTCTCACAGGAATTTACCAAACCAAATGGATTCCATGTTGTTGAGTTAGTTACCTACTGTACATAATAAACGATCAAATTGAAAAAGGAAATCAGAGGCACACTGATCCATGGATTATTTATCTTAAAACACATGTTTATGTTACATTATTGTATTTCTCAGAACCTAACCTCTATGCACTCCTCCTTACTGGCTCCCCTTCCTGTCAGCATGTCAGTGAATTGTGATAGACTGACATATTCCTTTACAAGTGAAAACAAAGTAATAAACCAGAAAATTATTTCAACAGAAAATATACAATTATTTGCCACTTTTCCCCTTATGAACTGTCCATGCTCACTTCAGGCACTTAACTGGTTACACTTTCCTTTTGAACTATAGAGCTCTGCTATATGAGTTCCACAAGTTTTACCTAACTTTCACCCTTAATTGCCTAAGTGAGGACTAAGTCATCATTGCTCAACCTCAATATATCACACTATTTACTTAAAAGAGTGCACTGAGCAAACCTCATGTCTGGAATTTCTTTCTTCCAGCCACCGTATAATACTGCCTGAATGTTGCTGCATAAAGGATTCATTTGGTTCCTCTCTAAACAAACAACACAAGTACAGTGTTAATAAAATTTATTTTTTTAAGTAAACCTAAATTATTACTCAAGTACCCTAAAAGATAAAGCTGCATACTGCATAGGGTACAGTTATAACAAATAGCATGAAATCTATATAGCATGGAGGACATAACTGGTAACAATCAATTCATTTTAAAACAACCAAGTGTCACAGGAATTTCTCACTAGTGTTTATTTAAGCTATGTCAAACCAAAACTAGAAAGATTAAATTCATAGAGAATATCCCTCCCTTCCAAAAAAAAATAAAAAGGGAAAAAGTGAAAAAGAAAAAACAATTGCAGATATATTCTTTTTGAACTGTTTTGTTGGAGCATGATCTCACATCAGTAACAACTTAAAAAATTACATACATTTTGGAAATGCTATAAAAGAAAACAATAACTGAATACACAGAGTTTGTAATGTGAAGCTATGCTGCTTCACTTGTGCAGTGCAGTGAAAGAAAATAAAGTATATTTACTGAGGAACAATTAAAAAATATACCAAACATAAAAAAAAACTAAATTAATGTCTTACTTGATCTTTGAGGCAGCTTCACGCAGTAAACCATGATCAAATAACACAGAAAGGTCTAAAGCTCCATCAGTGATCTCCCCTAAAGTCCCAAGAAATAATTATCCTCAATAAGTGCATAAATTACTATTAGAAAGTAAAAACTAAAGATGCACTTAATAAAATGGAAGTGTGACAACTTCCTTAATAGTGACATAACCCCATCAAATGGTTGTATGACATTCAAATTTCAAAGAGAAAGTAATAGAGTTTGCTATACAAAGAAAAAACACAATTACCTGAAGATGGACTTGTCTCTGTTCCATCCTACAGAAATAGAAATTGTAAATTATCTGACAAAACAATGAGCACTTAAAGGATGACTTTCAATTTTATGTCAGATAAATAAATAATGAAAGACAGTTGACTTCTGACTACTCCAGTATGTGCCAAAGTCACTTTGGAGGTAAACCTCATCAAGAATTTGAGCTAATGAGGGCTACCTGAACATGGAAAATGGCCTGAAGAAAAATAAGGCTTGAGGCTCTAGTAATGGAAGGTTTCAGTGACAAGGAGTCTACAGTGTTGATTAGCTAGTGAAAGCCTTGTGATCTTCTTAGGCATTTCAAGGTTTCTCTACCCATTGATGTAAAAAGATCCAACTTTAATATGATACATTAGAAAACTGCTAGTTTACAAAGATTATCAGAGACTTAATAGACTGACAGCATACATTATGTTGACACTATTTACTTCTAGCCTGACTCAGAGAAACTGAAGATAACGTAAGGAACCAATGGATCATCACAATAATCTCGGATCAATAACTTGGGGTTGAAGCGTTCTGAAAAGCTAGTGGTATCCAGGGTTGCTAAACTTCTGGAAATATTCGCTACTGTAAACCCTACACCCAGCTGTTGGGAACAGCTTCCGTTCACTCGAGAAAGGTAGTCACTACGTGCAATGAGTTATGTAAATGTAGGTTCTTTTAAGGCTAATTAATTGTGTTTGTATCAATTGAGGCACAATGAGTTCAAGAACTGCTACACTTGTCGCTTAATCTGCTGGTTATAAAATGTTAAATCAAATTAGTCCTATCAATTCTAAGGATGTCATAATCAATTTTTCGGTAGGACTTTTTAAGTCGGTGCATTTCGTCGAGGTCAGATGTGACCTGTATCCCATAGCTGGTTGCATCAACATATAGCCGAAGAAACATAAAATAATACCTCATAGTACTCGTTTTCATCGTCTTCTCCGTCGTTAACGCCTCCAGCTGTTACGTTTCCCATATTCTATAGCTTTTTCAAACGAGTTTTCTTCCTGGTTTTGCACATTCTACCAGCTTCGCCATTTTTATCGAAACCAACATGCCCAGTCCATCCCTGCGCTGGCCAATAGTAGTTGAGCTGGACTGGGTCTAAGAAGCTGCTTTTACTCGGAAAATCGCCATTTAGATACAAATCAAACATTTTTCCCGCAGTAACTCAGCATGATCAAGTTAGACTGCAAACAATCCCCTAACTTACGGTTAGCCCTTCCATATTAGTGCTAAAGGACGCACGTTTCTCCGCCCGCGGGAAGATTTCAGACGAGTTGGGGAGAGATTTGCCGGGGGTCGAGCAGAGGTCTATTATCTAGCCATGTGTTTGCCAAAACGGTCCCAGCGGGCTCGCGTTCTTCCTGGCCTCATATTAGAAACCTTTGGCAGTGAGGACGACAACGCCAAGACAGACATCGATTTATAAAAGAATTTATATTTTTAGTTGGAATCTCGCGAATTACTGGACGTGTTTACTATTTATTACGGCGCCTCAAGGTAACCTCTATCTTCTGCGCATCATTTATGTGAGCCAACCCGCACACTAATGATTCCCTCTAAGCACCAATAATAAGTGCCTACTCGCACACTAATGATTCCCTCTGTCTTCTGAGCACTGATTATGAGGGCCTACTCGCGAAGTAATGATTCCCTCTATTTTCGGGGCGAGTTCAGTGGAAATGGGCAGTTCATTGTATCGCCAAAAACTAAGGTCTAGATTTCTATTCGATTTAAACGGAGAGACCTCTTTAGTTTCACGCGGAAAAGGCAAAAGTATTACATTCAGTCCAATGCTTAAGTGGGCTAAAAACATACCTTTACCCCTCACCTATGAAGGTGAATACAAAATTAAGAATTACAGCTATTTAACAATGCTAAACGACTAACACAATATATAATTTCATTGTACTACATAAGCAGATTGTTTATTCATAATTCGTATCCTTTATTTGTGTCACTTTTACTGCGAACTGACGCCATTTGAGCGACATTGTTGAACATGCGTAACATTCTTCGCGCCTTTAGTACCTTTTTCTACAGCAGTATCTCGAAACATTACACGGTGAAGAATGAAACGTAATCTCTTGACAGTGTTGAAAATAATGCCTCGTGAACGAATAATAAAAACCATATGGTTATGTAGTTGTTACTTCTGCCTCTCCATTT